CCACACAGCTCTACATAGTGGTTGGATCATTTTGCACTCCCACCAGCCATGCAGGAGAGTTCCTTTTTCTCCACATCCTTGCCAACATTTGTTGTTGCTAGTTTTTTTAATATGTGCCATTCTCACTGGTGTAAGATGGTATCTCATGGTAGTTTTGATTTGCATTTCCCTGATTACAAGTGATGTTGAACATTTTTTCATATGCCTGTTGGCCATTTGCATTTCCTCTTCAGAGAAGTTTCTTTTTAGCTCTTCTGCCCATTTTTTGACTGGATTATTTTCTTCGTTTTTGTTGAGTCTCATCAGCTCTTTGTAGATTTTTTGTGATCAGTCCTTTATCATTAGTGTTGTGTGCAAAAATGTTCTCCCAGTCGGCGGGGTGTCTCTTTGTTTTGGTTATTGTCTCTTTTGCTGTGCAGAAGTTCTTTAATTTGATGTAGTCTCAGCTGTTTATCTTTGCCTTCACTATCACTGCTTTGGGTGATGTGTCTGTAAAGATGTCTTTGAGGTGCATGTCATGTAATGTTTCATCTATATTTCCTTCTATATGTTTTATGGTTTCAGGTCTTATGTCTAGTTCTTTAATCCATTTTGAATTGGATTTTGTGCATGGTGTGAGGTAGTAGTCAAGCTTCATTCTTTTGCATGTAGCGACCCAGTTTTTCCAGCACCATTTATTCAGCAAACTTTCTTTAAATGAGAAAGTAGTCTTTAAAAAAAAAAATATTTATTTATTTATACAAGCACTGGGTCCAGTCAGAAGCGCAGGAGGGTGAGAGAATTCACCAGAGCCAGAGCAGGGAGCAGAACAGGCAGAAGGACCGAAGCACACTGCTGAGGGGAGCAACAGGCAGCAGGAGAGGTCTGCGTGCCATGTGTGACCCTCGCCAGTCGGCCAGGGATCGAACCGGTGCTGCAGAGGCTGCGGGCAGCTTTGCAACCCAGCACTCAACCGCTACGCCACCAGGGAGGCCCGAGAAAGTATTCTTAACAAAAATAACATTTCTTAAAATAATCAGGCCAATGAGAAGAGTGGATCTTTTGCATTTTTTATTTTTGCAATTGTCTTTCTTGTCTGTCTCATTAGAAGACCTTTGAATTTTCTTCATATTTTCTTCTCCATTTAGTCTGTTGTTCTGGTTGAAGTCTATGAAAAAATACACACTGCCTTACTATAACTATGCAGATACTGCCTTACACAAATATGTTGAAGTAGTGTTTTCAGACAATTTGGAATATTCCACTTTGATACTACATTAAAACTGTACAGTTTTAACCTTGGTATTTTCTCCAAGGTTAATTGCAAAGTGAAACCTGAAACAATATCACTGAGTATTTCTTGTTCTGTTACATTTCCATAGTCCTCTTGTTGTAGAAATAAATTCTGGCCTTTTACCCAGGCAGAGGAAGAACAAGGGGTACTTCATAATGATGAGGTCAGAAGCTTTATTATTCATGCATGAGGTCCGAGACCTGGGTAGCCCCGTAAGTCAGAGCACCAGTTTAAAGACCAAGTTTAAAGACACAACTGTGTCCATATCTGTTACATTGATAGTGACGTTGTTTTTGTGAAGTCTGTGGGTTTGGAGTCTGGGGTCCTTGGGGTCACTCGGGGAAAGGTTTCACCAGAGCTCCCCTTTCAGCGACACATGGTGAGTTCCCCAGCGAGTTTCTCCATGAGACAAAGACACTAGTTATATTTAAAGGACAGGTTTATTAGGGAAAGGGACAGAAGAGTAAAAGACACTTGCATAGACACAAGCGGGCAGGAAGATCTGCCCCGAAAGGGACAGGTTTGCTGAGAGAGGCCTGCGTGGTTGCAGGCGGGCAGTCTTGAGGAGAGCGGCCTTCGCTGAAGGAGGTCAGTACAGAGAAGTCCAGGCATGGTGCAGGTCACGGGCAGGCAGGTAGGAAGCTGCTGTCCTGTGGAGGTAGAGGGTTGGTAAAAAGAGGCATCTGCATAGACACAGGTGGGCAGTGGGCTTGCTGCCCTGAGCCTGTGCAGAGACTGCACTGACATAGTCCTCTGCTGTTTGGGAGGGGCCGCTCCTTGTGAGCTTTAGGGTTAGTGGCTGATTTTGGATAACTAAGCAGAATCTGAAAGGGACAGCAGATTCCACAGTGGGCTCAATCTCCACATCTTTACCTGTGGATGTGTGCTCTGATACCTGCTTGGATGTTATGTAATCCAGGCACTGGTGCCTGAAGATCTTAGTTTTCACAACTGTGTAGTCTGTGCCTAAGGATCCTAGTTTCCATAACTGTGTTGACGGTTATGCTAATCTCTTCTACCCCCATCTTCTTATGAGAGCCACGTTTCTGGTCTTGTGGTGCTTCCTTTTGCAGTTTATTTATTTATTTATTTTCATTCCTGTCCTCCATCAATAGCATCGTTTTTCAGCAGGCACAACCATTTGCTGCAAAGTCCCCCAACAAGGGGGGCCAGGCAAGGGGGTGAAGATACAGGCATTTGGGGATGCCCTTTAATAGATAGGCCAGCTGGTTGACTGCCCAACCTTGTAGATAAGTGTGCTGAGGCCCTGGCCCTGCATCTTGAAAGGGAAAGAGCTGTGAGTAAGCAAACTTGTTAATTATGCCTGCATGGGAGTGTTCATTGTGTTACAGGGCAGGGAGAGGAGCACCCCAGGCCCCACAAAACTGCCTGCTCTAAATGGGCTCTGCCATCCACTGCATCAACACAAAACATGTAAGACTGTAATGGGAAGGAACTTGAATACAATTAGTAAACAATACAGAAAAGACAAAGAATATAGTTTCTAAATCAAGCACCCATGTTACCCATTCCCTTGTGGGTAAAAGACCACCTGAATGGTCTTTCGGGCCAGAGCAAGGCCCAAAAGCCTGCCACAAATCTAAAGCATCTTTTAGTGGGGACCCACAAAAAAGGATCAAAAATAACCAGACAAGATTGGGAAAAAAAATAGCAAATTCAAAATCAAGATAAAGGCTGCCATTGTCACCTCCCCACAGGTCTCTCACCCACATCAGTTTCAGGACCAAAAGGTAAACGTAGTTTCTTCACATGTCTCTCTGTTCCATGTGCCTCCTCCAGGTCTCCTTATGGCTTCATCCTGCTTCCTTCCTTCCCCAGTCTCCTCTGCAGCTTCTTCTCTTCTCTTTAGCTCCACCCTCCTTTGGGTGGGGCAAGGGAACCTGGACCTTCCCCTTTCCCTGGGCAGCACCCTGTTACAATTGCACCAAGACTGGAAATTCTGCTGGAATCTTTATTATATTCATTTGCTCAATAATATATGTTCTCATCACTCTCCTGCATATTGGTTGGGTCTTGTGCTAACGTGTGATTTTTTTTTAAAGTAATATAGTGTTCCAATAACTTATAAAGATCTTCAGTATTCATTACACTGGAATCAAATTATTTAAAAAAATTTCACTTTATTTTTCACCAAAAATCCCAAAAGTATAAGTAGTACTGGAAGTTGTCAAGTTAGTGAAAGATGGAGGAGAGCAATAGAAAAAGACTGGAAAGGAGATGACCCAAGACCAGAAATCTGGCTCACACAAGGAGCAGGGGGTAGAAGGGATTAACACAGCCATTGATACAGATCTAGAAGCCAAGATCCTTAGGCTCCAAAGCCTAGATTACAAAGCAGAAAATCCAAGCTGGTATCAGACTGCTGTCTAGAGCACGGGCCCAAGGGTAAAGATACAGAGATTGAGCCCTTTGTAGAATCTCTGTCCCTTTCAGATTCTGCATAGTTGTCCAACATCAACAACTAACCAGAAGGCTCACAAAGAGTGACGCCTCCCAAACAGAAAAAGACTATGTCAGTGCAGTCTCTGCACAGTTTGGGGGCAGCAATCCCTCCGCCCACCTGTGACTATGCAGGTGCATCTTTTCACCAATTGTCTTCTCTGCAGGGCAGCAGCCTCCTGCCTAGCCATGACCTGCATCATGCCTGCAGTTGTCTTCATTGACCTCCCTCAGTGGAAGCAGCTCTTCTCAAGGCTGCCCTCCTGCAACCATGAAGGTCTCTCTCAGCAAACCTGCGCCTTTCGGGGGGCAGCTCTTCCTTCCCACTTGTGTCTATGAAAGTGTCCTGTACTCTTCTGTTCCTTGTCTAATAAATCTGTTCTTTAAATATAACTAATGTCTCTGTCTTGTGGAGTAACTCGCCTGGGGAATTCTTCATGTGTCGCTGAAACAGGAACTCTGGTGAAACCTTTCCCAGAGTGAACCCAAGGACCTGCACTCCAAACCCGTTGACTCCAAAAACTCCATCATTAGCATACCATAGGTTATTAATATTCTTCTTTTAAAAAAAGATTTATTTATTTATGCATACAAGAACTGGGGTAGAGGCCAGAGGTGTGGCGGGTGAGAGGATTCACCAAAGACAGAGTGGGGAGCAGAACAGGCAGATCTATAGAAATACACTGCTGAGGGGAGCAGCAGGTGAGGCAGGAGAGGTCTGCCTCTGCCTGAACTGGTGCTGCTGCAGCTACAGGTCACTTCATAGTGCTGATGCTTAACCCCTTGCACCACCAGGGAGGCCCCAGGTTATTTATATTCTAAAGTAAAGAAGCAATAACATCTTTAAAAACGTTTTATTCTAAATATTTAAAGCTGTAACCCACATAACAAAATTATACATGGGATCCGTAATAATTTGTGAGACTGTACAGAGTTTCTGAAAGAAAAATGTTTGAGGCTTGCAGACCCAGTCCCTGGGCCTGGACTCAGGGACACGGTGTGACAAAGGTCTCGGAGCAGGAGAGGAGGGGGCGGCAAAGTCCCAGGTCTCGGGGTGTGGCTGTCTGGGTCTCAGTCCCCAGCGCGGGGTGCAGGGCTGGAAGGTGACTGCTGGGGATTCGCCCTCTCCCCTCGGTTTCACTTCTGGGCTCACAGCCTGGGCGGGTCCTCCTGCCTGGATACTGGTGACTCACCCCAGGGCTCACTCCCCATTGCCTGCAGGTCTCCAGAGAAGGTTTCCAATCAGCACCTGGGCGGCCCCGTTCCAAAGTCCTCACCCGCCCGCCGGGACTCCGTCTCCCCAGCCCGGGTGGAGGCGCGTCCTGGGGGATGGGGGGCGCAGCCCTCCTGCTCCTGCTCGCGGTGGCCGCGGCCCCGAGGGAGACCCGGGCGGGTGAGTGCGGGTCGGGAGGGGACAGGGCGCTCCCAGAGGCGGGAGCGAGGGCGCGGGCGGGCGTGGGAAAGGCGCGACCTCGCCGCCGCCCTAGGTGTCCCCCCACCTCGGCCCCGCCCCGTCCTGGCCCCTTTCCGTCCCCCGAGACCCCAGCCTCCTCTGGCCCCCCGAGTCCCGGCCATTTCGTCCCGCAGCCGCTTTTCACTCTCACTCGTCTTTCACCCACTTTCTGTCTCGTGGGCGCCCCCTGGGACTCGAGCCCCCGAAGGAGAAGAATAGCCCGGGTCTCCCCTCCCGCCCCCAGGCCCCCACTCCCTGAGGTTTTTCCACACCGCGATGTCCCGGCCCGGCCTCGGGGAGCCCCGCTTCATCTCCGTGGGCTACGTGGACGACACGCAGGTCGACCACTTCGACAGCGACTCTCCTGGCGGGAGCTTGGAGCCGCGGGCGCCCTGGGCGGGGCAGGTGGGGCAGGAGGAGCAGGAGGAGTGGGACAGGAGGACGCAGATGCTAAGGGACATGACACAGTGGTACCGAGAGCAGCTGGACTCCCTGCGCGGCCTCTACAACCAGAGCGAGACCGGTGAGCTGGCGCGGGTCCGGGCCGGGTCAGCACCCCCATCCCAAAGAACGGGGGGTCGCTCAGGGTCTCCCCCTCCAGGCTTCTCTGCAACCTGCCCGGGAACAGCCCGTGGGACTTTCACCCTGTTTCATTCTGTTTAGTTTATTCCTGGCGGGAGGGGGGGGGCGGGGTGACTGCGGGGTGACGGGGCGGGGACAGGGTCTCACACCTTCCAGGGTATGTATGGCTGCGACATGGGGCCCGACGGGCGCCTCCTCCGCGGGTACAGTCAGTTCGCCTACGACGGCACCGATTTCATCGCCCTGAACGGGGACCTGCGCTCCTGGACCGCGGTGGACACGGCCGCTCAGATCACCCGGAGCAAGTGGGAGGCCCAGGGTGAGGCAGAGAGATTCAAGAACGATTTGGAGAACAAGGACTTGAGGTGGCTGCTCAGATTCCTGGAGTCCGGGAAGGAGACTCTGCAGCGCACGGGTAAGAGGGGCCTGGAGGCCTCCCTGTCCCCCCCTGCCTGGAGTCACTGCGGGAAACGAGTCCTCTCCCTAGTCCCGAGAGGGGGACTCCCCTGGGCTTCATGTTCTGCACTGGAGAGACTCCCAGAGACTCCGGCTTCTCCTGAAGGACAGGGAAGGGATCCGTCTCTCCTGAGAAAGACAGACAGTCCCTGACATCACACGTCACCGGGTCCTTTTGACCAGGGGCCTGTTTGAGAACCACGAGTTTCTCTCTCAGTCTTGTTTCTGGTCTGAGAACATTTTCAGTTATGTGATTCCTGCTTTTCTGTGTCATTCACCTCTCCCCTCCCCCCTCGTGGGAAATAAAGTCTGTGTTCCACTCCTTAGAGACCTGCATCATCCTAGCCTGGGCTTTTATCCTGGTTCTAGAACTTTTTAAGGAATAAGGGAATCTCATAGATTCCACCCCCCACCCCACCCCCCACTACCCTGCTTTCTACATTTTATGTTTCTTCCTTCCAAACCAGTTGTCCTGTCCATTCCGAGGATGGTCACATGAGGATACTTCAGTGTCCATGGAGGAAACTCAAAATGTGAATTTTCTGATTTACCCCCTCAGATCCCCCAAAGACACACGTGACCCACCACCCCACCTCTGAGCATGATGTCACCCTGAAGTGCTGGGCCCTGGGCTTCTACCCTGCGGACATCACCCTGACCTGGCAGCAAGATGGGGAAGACATGACCCATGACACAGAACTGGTGGAGACCAGGCCTGGGGGGGATGGAACCTTCCAGAAGTGGGCGGCTGTGGTTGTGCCTTCTGGAGAGGAGCAGAGATACACGTGCCATGTGCAGCATGAGGGGCTGCTGGAGCCCCGAGTCCTGAGATGGGGTAAGGAGGAGGATGTGGGCACTGAGGCTGTTCTCAGGGCCATCAGGAGCCCTTCTGGAGCCCTTCAGAGGGTCAGGATAAGCCCTGGAGCTCAGGGTCTCACTCTCCCTTCCCTTCCAGTGCCCCCTTCTCAGTCCTCCTCCCCCACTGCGGGCATCATTGCTGGCCTGGTTCTCCTTGGAGCTGTGCTCACTGGAGCTGCCGTGGATGCAGCTGTGATGTGGAGGAAGAAGCGCTCAGGTAGGGAAGGGAGTGGGGGATCTTGTCCACTGGGGGCCTTTCATGTCCCAGGGAGAACTTGCCCTGGCTGGTTAATGGGAAGTACCATCCACACACACGTGTGTTGCCCAGAGGGCATTTGGTCCAGACCCCCCTCACCTCCTTTCTTCATTTTTCCCAGTCCTGTCCTGGGTCTTTACTCACAGTTCTGGAAACTTCCCTGTGGTGCAGGATTAGAAGATTCCTTTAGGCTTCTGACCTGACTCCTCCCTGGTCTCACATGATGTCTCTTCCCACAGGTGGAAACGGAGGAAGCTACACTCAGGCTGCAGGTAAGTGTGGATCAGGGGTTGGATCCCTGAGCCCCTGGGGACAGTATAGGTGGATTCAATGGGAGAGTCACCCCCATCATTCCCTCCTGTTATCTCCTCTCTGACCAGGTTCTGTTTTGTTCTCCCCCAGGAGAACAGTACCCAGGACTCTGATGTGTGTCCCTGCCCCTAAAGTGTCCTTCAAAATAAATCTGATTGAATACAATTATTCCTATTGTTTTCAGATTCCATTTAATTTTGCTGTTTGCTTTTATTTTTTTCACCCTATCTCCAGAGTGGTGTCTGCAGGGTCACGGCACAGAGGGGCTGTCAGCAGCCTGGAGGTGTGAGCAGGCCTGACTGACACGCCTACAGGGAGTGGGGCCCTGGACCCCCAGAATCAGTCCCCAGGGCTGGTCCTCGAGGGCAGCACAGGCCTTGCTCTGCCCTCCTCTTGGCGCCTAGTATTGGTGGAGTTGAGGATGATGTTCTGGCTCAGGAAATGGGGGCCTTCTCCAAACATCTGTCTTCTCTTCATCTCTCTCCTTCATCAGCCCGAGTATGTGTGTTTGAGTCACACCAGCCCTGCACGGACAGGAAAAGGCCCAAAACGAGTAATTTACTGGTCAGTTATAGAGTCAACCCCTCTGCAGTTCTACCAGGAGAAAACAGAGACTCTCCCAGCCCCCAGCCAGAGCCCGTGTCACCCACACAGACCTTCTCCCGGCAGTGTCCCCGATGCTGCCCATCCTGGCCCACACTTCCTGGTGCCCCCACCACTCCTTTTGGGCCCCATCCCCTAGTCCCCATTTTCATCCTCTGCTCCATTTCCAGGAGCCTCCCCATCTTCCAAGTCATGCCCTGGGAACTCTCCTCTGTCCGTCCCTCATTCAAGGTGGTGAACTTTAAAATATATATATTTATTTATTTTCTTACATAGTGGGTCATCTTTCTATAGTTATTGTTACCCTTAGGTGTGGTGCTCAACCAATAATCCACCCACTTACCACCTCCAGCTCTTCTCCAGTTGGATCATTTCTGCTGCCCCTTGCTGCAGGACATGGCTCGATGGTCAGCTCACGGGCCTTGTCTTTTTCTAGAAAACTTGTCCTTTACCTGGGTGAGGTCCTGGGCTCTTGGGGAAATTGAAGTTTGATTGCCAGGAGGAGGTGCTTTCACCCCTGGAAGCAGAAACAAATTACAGAGACTCTAGAGTCAAAGGCTCCATTCCAAGACTCAAGGAATATTTGGAGGATCTGCCCATAATCTGGGAATCAGCTGTTAAAATCTGGAAACCTGGTTCTATTCTTAGTCCATAGGACTACTAGGAAGAAAATTTGGGGACTTCTGACCTGACACTGGACTTGGGCGCCCCCTTGTGTGCAGATCCCTGTCCTGCCGCTGGGGGCCCAGGGAGCCTGGGGAGGGCCTGGCTGAGCAGGAGAAAGGGCGGCTCTGGGCGCCTGTGCTCAGCCCTGTGGCCACACGGGGGCGCTGCCGCGCTGCTCCGGATTCTGGTGGAGCCGCCAGGACGGGGCGGGGGCTGAGGTGGGCAGAGTTGGGGGTGCTGGAGGGCGGCGTCCTGGGGTGAGATGCTCTGTGAGGAGTCAGAGCAGCAGGGCTCAGAGGAGAGGAGACTCCGGAGCCTGCCCTGGGTGTGAGGTTTCCAATTCCCCCCTCCCCCCCAGAATCCCTACTCCAGTCCCAGGATAACGATATCTGGGAAAACGAAAGTAGAAAAACTTTTCCTTCTCCAACCTATTAAATATCGAGGTATTTAAAAAATAGCATTTAAAGAATACTGTTAGACTTACAGAAAACTTGCATAGGTAGTACAGGTTTTGTTTATCCCACACAGGTCTTGTTTATCCCATTTTCAGTGTTAACATCCTACATGAGTAAAATTTTTATTTTTACAACTAATACAGCAATGTTGACATAATTACAAAACGCCATGCTGAAAGCAAAAGCTAATGTGCATTTTATGCTCCATAATCCCATCCAGTTTGCCTAGAAGGCAGTTTCTCAGGCTTTCCTTGTTTTTATAACATTGACATTGGTGAGGAGTGATACTCTGGAGAGGTGTTGGGGTCACAGATGGGGGTTCTTGGGTCACCTCTGAGAAAAGTTTCTCCAGAGTCCCCCTTTAAGTGGCTTGCATGTGTGTGTGTGTGTGTGTGTGTGTGTGCGCGCACACACACACACACACACACACACACACACAGAAAGAAGATGCTCATGCAGACACAAGCAGGCAGGAAGAGCTGCACCTGGAGAGGGCGGGTGTGTTAGCAGAAGCCTGCAGGTCCCAGGCGGCTGCCTAGGGAGCCGAGCTGAGTCTTCCCACAGTGCACTGGTTTAGTGTTCTAGTTGAGAGGGCTTCATTCCTTTGTGTAATTGTTATTTATCTTCAATCACTTCTATGGTGTGACTAGGCTGATTTGTCAGGAGCAGTGATTCTCTGCAATGGCCCCATCCCCATATCCCAGCTCTGGTCTGAGCCTCCTTATACTTCCTATAGTGTCTGATACTTGCCATAGCAGTTGGCCCAAAGCGTTTTTTCATTTCTATAGTGGGTTTAATGATGATGTTAAGCACTTCTGTCCCCTCCTCCAGTTTCTGGTCATGTGACTCCTCCATCCTGAATTTTCTACTCTTAGCCTCCATCAGAGTCCTGCTCAGGAATATTGTCCCTTAATTTAGGTTTTTTTTTTTTTCTTTTTTGGTGAGACTGTTGGTTTGAGGAAGTAGACCACAGGGATGCAGCGTCATTCTCCACTCAACACAAAAAGGGCACATCATTTCCACCTGACTCATCACTGATGGTGTTAACCTTCAACACCAGGCTAAGGCAGTTTCCCAGCTTTCTTCCTGTGAAACTTCTCTTTTTTCCATTTCTTTAGATATTGCAGTCTTTGGAGGGTCTCAGTGTGGCCCTCAAACATACGTGTCATTTCCAATGGCAATTTTTTTGCACATTACCTAATTATTAGATTCTGGCTCACAGAAGACCCTGTGGGATGAGAAGTCACATCTACTTCTTTGGTGTGGTAATTGGTATTGTTTACGATTTGATAACAGCAATGCAGCTACATTTTTGGGAATTATTTTCTAGAATTTAGATTTGTATCATTTTCTGCTGTATCTTAAGGAACTGGAGGGAACATGTCAGAGGAAGGCGGTGGTGTCCATGCAGGCCCTTCCCTCACAGCCTGGCCCAAGGAGAGTCCCCGAGTGTCTCCTCAGGGGCCTCTGCTGCCTCCTTTGTCACATCTTCCCTCCTGGGGATGAATATGGGGAGTGAGCCCCCAAGCATGTGTGCATGTGTGCAGAGCCCCCGAGCATGTGTGCAGGGGGTTCCCAGGACCCTTTTTGGTGGAAAGGACTTGATGAATAGCTAGAAGAGCACCAGAGCAGTATCTGCTCCTCTGCTGTGAGTCCAAGGGCTAAGCTCCAGGGACAGCTGTGGGGTCTCTCTCAGACGGGGCTGGTTCTAAGTGACTCACCTGGTGGCTTCCTTTGCCCAGCCTGGGCCTGCCTTAGGCCTTGTCCCTCGCTCAAGATGTTCACCTATTCTTGGATCTACGAGCAAGAAAGGCCCCTGTAGGGAAAGTGATTATCAGGATTTTGTGCCCTCCAACCACTAGGATTGATGATGGACCCTGCGGTCCTGAATTGCATGCCTGATGGAAGCCCCAGGAGTGGGGGGTGGGCACACATAGGTACACCTGGGCTGAGACTGGCTTATAAGGGTCGTGTCACGGGACACCAGCAGAACAGCAAAGGAGAAAAGAATAGAAAGGAAATGAGAAGAGTAGAAGCACAAGAGCAGAAGAAAGAAAGAGAAGCAGAAGAGAGAGAACGAGGCCACGACAGAACGCCGGAAAGTCCAGGAAAAGTGAAGATTCACCAGGGGCTGGGAGGCCTGCCAGCTCCCTGCCCCCCACCACACCTGCCTGCCGTGTACCTGGTAAATCCCAATAAAAGCCTGAGAAAGTGACCAAGGGCTCCAGGACCCTCCTTTACCCATCTGCACAGGGTCTTAGAGATCCTGCTCTGTGCCTTCCTGCCGCTGCAGCCCCTTTCCCTGCACAACATGCGCACACGCCCGTTTTCACTTGGGAGTTCGGGGGCCCATAGACCCTCTCAGCACCCAGGCTGCTTCTGTGAGGACGTCCTGCACCATCAGGATCTGGGCTGTGGCTGGAAATGGGAGATGATTAGGACCTGGAGCACCTGCCGGGGCTCCTACTGGCAGATCTGGGGACATGTGGAGAACACAGACCTCCCACACTGACTGTGCCATCCTCCCTGTCCCTGCACCCTGACTCTGGGCCACCTCCCCACATCCTTACCCACTTCTAACCAGACACGCCCCTTATTTACTGTCACAGTCTCCAGTGTCCCCTTCCCACCAGGACACACGCTCCACAGACCAGCAAGTTGGGCTGTATTTAGTTCATTGAGGTTTCCTAGGTGCAAAAACAGCCTGTCACACATCTGATGCAACAATTAATTTATGAATGATCAGGGATCAGGGTAAAGCACCTCCCCATTGCAGAGACAGTGTCTCTACTAAGGTAGCCTCAGACCACATTCTACACACACCTCCACTCTTAGAGACGTCAGTGTCCCCTCTATTTTATCACAGATGCTGCTCCTTCCCCCCCACCCCCATCTTTTTCTCCCACCCCCAAACCTGCACACCACAGCACACAAGAATAGTTCTCCCTTTAGAAAAGAAGATCCTGGGCCTCCCTGGTGGCACAGGGGTTAAAGACACAGCACTATCAAGCTATCGACAGCCACTGTCTCTCCCGCTGCTCCCCTCAGCAGTGTATGTCAGTCAGTCTGCCTGTTCTGTTCCCCACTCTGTCTCTGGTGAATCCTCTCACCGCTCCCCCCACTTCTGGCCTACACCCCAGTTCTTGTATGCATAAATAAATAAATCTTTAAAAAAAAACCTATATAAAAAAAAGATCCTAGGTTTATGGGTCTTATTGTTAACCAGCAGTGAACATAGCTTACATCTGGGATATCAGACCTGAGGGTGGGGAGAGGGGGCAGCTGCAGAGAAGACAGAAACCCAAAAGGGACTCATCTAAGAAGAGGAATTATCTGATCCTCCCCTCTACTAATACCCAAATTGGGTCCTTTTAAATGGTGGGGAAAAAGATGGAAATCTTTTCAAAAAGTGTCCCAAAACGGAGCCTCCCTGGTGGCACAGGGGTCAAAGACAGAACTATCAAGCTATTGCCAGTCACTGCAGCACAAGTTCAATCCCCAGCCGGCCAGGGAGCAAACCACATGGCGCAGCAGAGCTCTCCTGTCTTGCCCACTCCCCTCAGCGTGTATTTCAGTAGATCCTCCTGTTCTGCTCCCCACTCTTTCTGGTGAATCCTCTCACCCCTCCCCCACACACACACCACTGGCTTATACCCCAGTAATTGTATTCATAAATAATTAAATCTTAAAAAAAAAAAAAAGTACCAAAACTATTTGAGTGGGGACATTAATTTCTAACACCAGATACTCCTGTGAGCAGGGGCCACCCTGCGCCATATGGGGACAATGACAGATACTCCTGCTGCTGTCAGAGACAGGGATGCCCAGAGGACATAAGGCCTGGTCTGTAAACATGGAAAAGAACAGACATAAAGCAATAAAACGCAGGAAGTAAAATCATAAACACAGAGTATGAGGACTAGGGAATGAACTCTGACCCAAGCCTAGGCTGACTAAGCCTCATGCAACCTCCACCCACATTTCTGGAGACAGGACAGGCCCAGGTGATGTCAGAGTCCCTGTGATCACAGGCCCTACTGGGACAGGTGCTCCTGAAGGACAAGGACAAAGGAGCAGAGAGACGACCCCTGAGGAGTGACCACATCGAAGCCCATGATGCACTGAGCACCGACTGGACACAGGCCCCGTCCCCCTCGGCTCCTCACAGCCTCTCCCGCCCCCACCTGCACAGACTCAGCACAGCAAACCTGCAGCTGTGGCTGGTCCTCAGGACTCTTTATTTCCTCTCAAATCTTTCTAATTAGCCCATCAACCCCATGTGATAAGGTAAAAAAATAATTTCATATGTGGATGGTTATTCTCAGCAGGGAAGTAGACATTGTTCTCAGGAAAACACAAAGTACAGGCAGAGGTAGAGTCAGCCCCTCTGCTGGAGCAGGAAAGTCACCAGGGAAAGACACAGGTCAGTGTGGGGAGGGTCATGGTGGGCGGGGCTGGGCCAGTCTCCGCACCTCCTCATGTTATGCTGATATGAGCACAGACACATGTAGATGCCCTTTGCAGCCAGAGATCCCAGAAGATCTGGTTTATATACATATATATACATATACTTTATATATATATATATATATATAAAGTAATGTTGGTTTACATCATTGTTGGAAGTGTTAGATGAGCCCCTTCAGGTGTTTTTAATACACCACACCCACCACCCAATCCCCCATAATCCACCACTGTGCTCCTCCACACTTTGTTCTTGCTCTTCCCACTTCCCCTCTGGTAGCTGCAGTTCTAGTCAGATTTCAAGGGTTAGTTTTGTAGTTTGACTTTATCTGAGCTTTTGTTTGGTTTCTCTATATTCCGCATAGAAGTGACACAAGTAATATTTGTCTTTCTCCCTCAGACTTAGTTTGCTTAGCATAATCCCTTCCAGCTCCATGTTTGGCCTGAAGAAAATACACTGCTGAGGGGAGCAGCGGGCAAGACAGGAGAAGTCTGCTGTGCCATGTGGGTTGCTCCATTGCCGGCCAGAGATCAAATTTGTGCTGCAGAGGCTGTGGATTGCTTCATAGTGCGGTGCTTAACACCTTGTGCCACCATGG